TAGCCATTGACATGTAGAGAAGAAATTGATGGTTCCCATTCGATTTATAGGCTGCGTTCTGATGTGTGTTTCAGCTCACAAAGCTGCAGCTGCCGGAAAAAATATCTGCAAGGTACCAGCACACTTAAAAAGTAGCTTCATCCTTCTTGTAAGTATGATATCGTAAGGTTGGGTTGCTTCAATCATTTTGCAAATATTTATTTCTTAAAAAGTTCTTTGATGCTACATTGGATTTTGTATGGATATTGCGCTTATCAGGAAATGTTCATTATTCAGAGTAGGTTGTGCCTGAAAAATACATAACTAGACACAGATTTCCATGTGTCTACATTTCTCCCCTTTAACAGTCAATCAGTGAACATTTTCAGTTATGCACAGTGGTTACATCAAGAGCCCATGCAAGACAGATAATAAATACGACTTAAAAAGTCATTTAATTTTCTTCCTTGCCTTACACATATCACAATTTCAGAAGGGTAGGATTACACTTTATTATTTTCTCCTCTGCCATCTGTTCATTGAAAGTGCTTGCTTTCTGCTTTACATTCTGTTTTTATTCTGTATTTGATATGATTTATTTCAGCATCTTGGCAAGAAGTCATGTTTCACGACAGTAATAATAATAGTAATAATAAAAAAAATTGCACATTTGTTATTCTATTCTGAAAAGATTTCAGGACTTAATTGAGAAAAAAATGATGAATTGAAATAAATTGCTCTTTGGAAATTTTGTAAAGGCTGTTTTTGTGATGTGTTTCATACAATTTGGGGGGATTTTCTCTACCTCACCGCAGAGCCTGTGAAAAAAGCGGCAGACTTAATGAAAGGCTCCAGGACACAAATAATAGGGACCGTGCCGGCTGGTGATAAAACTTGAGTCGGTAACAATAGTACATCCATGCCAAGGAAACAGAGATAAAAGTAGGATGTTATAAATATCGATGTTTTATTACAATGTACATGGAAGTTACAAACAAACCATGATTATATGTGCTTTAAGTGATTTATTTATAGACAAATATATTATATCATGAAAGCTTGCTCTGCAGAGTTACAGAGTGCAGGTCCTGTAAATGCTAACAATCACTTCTAAGTTCTTCTGAGTCACCAGGGACAATGCATCATGGAGGGAAAATGGAGACATGAACTAAACACAGAACATTAAATGGGGGGCAAACAATACAGTGTATTGGGACTGAAAATTGTTCAGGTAAAAACAGTTCCAATTTTGCTCTCTCTATTACCCTCATTTAAAAAGTTGATTATTGATAAGCTTTAAGTAACATTTATGAAACCAATCCCAGTCAAAAGACACTTTCTGTGCATTTTTTGCTTCCCTGAAGTATACAATACAGCAATAGAAAATTGAAATATCTGTTACATAAAAGAAATATCACTGAAATAATTCAGAACTGTGAAGTAATTCAGAGATTTGAGATATTCCAAAATTTTGATACATTTTAGAACTCTCATATAATATCTCAGGATTCTGAGGTCATTCATTTTATGTATTTTCATCAGTTGTCTCCAGGCTCTTCCATAAAAGCTAAGAAGTTGCACTGTGGCCATCGTACACACTACAGGTTTGTTTACGGGTCATGTAGGATGCTGTAGTGAATTGGTGGATGGCGTCACCATACAATGATAGAAAAATAAGGATCTTTACCAGCAGACCTGGTGGTAATCTTCTCCTTTATTCACATATGTAAACAGGCCTGTTGCTTTATGTGAATAAAAGACAAGATTAGCACTATGCCAAGGTGTGCTTGTGAAGATCCTTATTTTTCCACCATAGAAAAGGCCCAATGAGATGTTTATGACTACTACCATGTTGGACGTAATAAGTGGTGGAAACACTCAATAATATTCAACAATCTATCCGGTGAGCTGAATGTTTCTCCCACCCCTTGTCTTCTGGAAGATATCTTACAAATTTTGGCAAGTGTAATGCACACCTGTGTAGGTTTTACTGTTTTGTCAGGAAGGTGTAAAACCGAAAAATTGCTTTTTTTTTGTACCTTGCAGATACCCAATTTCTGTGTATGTCCCCCAGTGTTCCAGTGGAAGATACGGGTACTGTTTATGGCAAACAGTAAATGTCCCTCTGACATGATAATTGCCTTGTTTCTGCCAGTTGGGGAGATGATTAATATGTTTATAGGTACATTTCAGAAGCTGTGTTTGAACCTTTTAGGTAATTGGGAACTCTAAGTACTTTATTTCCCTGTCTGCATAAAACAATCTTTGGGTGTTCAGATTTTAATGTTGTTTCAGCCCGACAGCTTGTTACTATGATCAGCTGAAAGAGAATGAAGAAAACACCAGTGGAAGCTGTCATTCTCTGACAACAGTAGCACAAAATAAGTTTTCTGGTTAATAAATGTAATATTACATATTATATAAGTTAAAAACAGCAAAGTACTTTTTTTCTTTAAAAATGTTTTGAACTGACTAGTCCAGGGTTTCTCAACCAGAGTTCCATGAAACCTTAGGGTTCCTCCAGAGGTTCTTAGGGGTTTCTTGAGCAATGAGCAATTTCTGCCTTTTGGATAAGCTCCCACTGATGCCATTGATCTTTTTAGCTATCCGTAAGGGGCAAATTCATTCCAATGACCACAAGTGTAAGGAGCATTCTTCCCACTGACCATCACACTAATGTATCATGAGTTGTAGAAATAGAAATTTTTAGCAGGGGTTCCCTGAGACCGGAAGGTTGAGAAAGGCTGGGCTAGACCATTGGTGATGAATCCCTGAAGACTGGAAGTAAATGGAAAAAGTTTGCAAGTCTGCTTAATTCAGTGAAAAGCGCTGTCATCTCCAAATAAATAACCTGAGCACTTCCACCTGTGCAATGACATGACATTCACAGAAGATTGCCAACTCAAGGCCAAGAAAAATCTGCCCCTCTCCTCTTAATTGCAAAATAATGATCCTATAGGAACAACTAGTATATTTTGTACTAATAAATAAGAGTTTCCATGACAACCATTCAATGGCCATTTTGCCTCCTTGATGCATTCTTCTGGTTTCAAACTCTTTGGTTTATCTCTCTATAATAAAGATATTCTGTACAGCTCATAGTGTTCATTATAATAATGCATGGATACAGCACTGGAAAAGTATACACCTTCATATTACAGTTGTATCTGTTTTCCACACCGGGAATGCGTTAAATATTGAACTGGGTGAGGCTGGCTCTTTTGGCTGTGGCCAACCTTTCAATCCCAGGATGTCAAGGCGCCCCGATGCAGGACTGCCATAGCAGAAGCTCCAAAGGTCTCTGATAATTACACAGGATGTCTTAAATTAAAATAGACAAAGGTGAAAAAAGCAGCATGGTTTAAACTCTGCAGAATGGAAGCCAATCGAACTCTCTCTGCGTGATGTTTAAGGGAAAAAAACCTTTATAGAAAAACAATGTGACAAGTTACAAAGTGCAGAGCGATCAAACCGATAATAGGAATTGGTTTTGGTAGGTAAATTGCAACGTTTTTCCTTCTTCCATCAGGAAAAAAAATCTGTGGATTACTTGTACATGATGGAGGCATTTCCACTGTCATCATTACTACCCAAATCAGGAGGAAACCGTCCATTAATCAGATTTGGGTTATGCTTATTTTAAGGGCTCCACAACACAAACAGCAACATACATATCAGAGAGATGTATACAAGAAATGTTTTACCTGACCACAGATTGTAAATAGATGTACATTTTATTGCCACCCCCATAACCCTTGCTATGTTACATGACTGCATAGGAAGAGTGGAAACACACTTTAGATCCTGTGTAACAATGCCCCACTTCCTGCCTGAGCCAACAGTGAATGGCAACACCCTGATGATGCCAACACTCTTTCACCCAACAATGTAAACATCATTAAACAGTTGCTCATTTATATTTTGCTTTTTTATCTTTATTTTGTTTTCGAAGTGCACTGAGGAATATGGGGGACTGCCTAAGACTCAGTGCACATGTATTTGTTGGTGGTTGGGGTCACAGCCAAAGCTATGCAGTGTACAAATGTTATCAACCCGTCTTATGCTGTGCTTGCTGTTACAAAGTGCAGAGCGATCAAACCGATAATAGGAATTGGTTTTGGTAGGTAAATTGCAACGTTTTTCCTTCTTCCATCAGGAAAAAAAATCTGTGGATTACTTGTACATGATGGAGGCATTTCCACTGTCATCATTACTACCCAAATCAGGAGGAAAACCGTCCATTAATCAGATTTGGGTTATGCTTATTTTAAGGGCTCCACAACACAAACAGCAACATACATATCAGAGAGATGTATACAAGAAATGTTTTACCTGACCACAGATTGTAAATAGATGTACATTTTATTGCCACACCCCCATAACCCTTGCTATGTTACATGACTGCATAGGAAGAGTGGAAACACACTTTAGATCCTGTGTAACAATGCCCCACTTCCTGCCTGAGCCAACAGTGAATGGCAACACCCTGATGATGCCAACACTCTTTCACCCAACAATGTAAACATCATTAAACAGTTGCTCATTTATATTTTGCTTTTTTATCTTTATTTTGTTTTCGAAGTGCACTGAGGAATATGGGGGACTGCCTAAGACTCAGTGCACATGTATTTGTTGGTGGTTGGGGTCACAGCCAAAGCTATGCAGTGTACAAATGTTATCAACCCGTCTTATGCTGTGCTTGCTGTACAGGCCTGTAGTAAAAGTAAAGTAGGGGTCAGAGGTCACAGGGTATGGGCATCACCTTGCAATCTTTTTTTACAGGTTTTAGCATTTCAAATAAATATATATATATATATATATATATATATATATATATATATATATATACACACACACACATATACACACACTATATAGTTATATATGTAGCTCTTTGGGCAGAACTGCCCTTTAAAGGCTCACAGTATACAGATGAGTATGCTGTGGAGTTATTATATCCATGGGTTGAAAATTGATACTTTTCCTGCAGAATGTGGGGTTCATGTGTGCGCAGCCGCTCCCTAGGAGTGTGTAGAGCGGCATGACCTGCAGCAAGCTTTACTGTAGTACCAGTGACTGCACAGGTTTACTTTGATAGCCAGAGCACAGTTGGTGCCAGCCTGGTCCTGGCAGCTGTCATCTGTAGGTAGAACAGAGAAAACAGGGTAAATTAGAGTACAATACACAATGTCAACATTAGCCAATATGAAAATAAAATTAGGATGTTCTCCCCAAGTTTGCATGGGTCTCCTCTGGGTGCTCTATATCCTCCCGCCACCCTAAATAAAAGACTGGAAATTGGATAACTGGTGGTGGTAGAGACATGAGCATGCAAAGTCTTCTCCAGCAAGGACAGGACAGAAACTAGCAATGTTGCTGAGGAACAGGACTCAGAATTGCCTTGTGTCTCAGTGTTATCAGTAGGCTGCATCTCTGTAACAATGATATGTTCAAAAACATCTAACAGCTCTATTTTGTTTGTGTATGACAGGTCCCCATTAATACGTTCTTAAAGCTGGAAGAGCAAACTGTCTAGTAAGAGTTACTTGCTGCTGCCATCTAGTGCCAGAGTTTATTCTTACCTGGAGGGTCTGTTGGGCAAGGCTGTAAGTCGCATGTCTGCTTCCCTACCGGTTTAACCAGCAGATCACAGCCACGAACGATGTCTCTTCCTTGGAAGCACTTCACATCCCGCATCCGGACTCCAACTCCACATGTTTTGCTGCACTGTAATGCCACAGGTATACAGTAAGCAGTAATACTTTAGTTTACAACATAGTTATTTTCTTACACTGGAAACCTGTAACTTAACACAGCCATTTTAATTGTTTTACTTTTTTATGCATGTGAATATGATCTGCAAGGTAGTTAGCCCTATCTGTAAATGTTTATACACCTTGTGTCTCTGTTTAGTGTGTAACTGTATATGTAGATGAGGGGAGCAGCCAATTTTGACCATTAAATATACATGTCTTCTTCTTGCTTAGTAGTGCTGCACAGTAACATACTGTACATGCCAGGACAGTCATGTTTTTTGCTAAGCTTTCTCGGGCTAGCTATGTCCCGGGCAGCGCCCCGGAATCTGGGCTGCGACTACAGCAGTAGCCTGTCACTGGGCTCAATTTACAACCAAAGATATCTCTCCCTCCTTTACCTTTTCCCCCTGCAATTTCTGGCACTCTTCCAGTGCTTTGCAGGGGTTAAGGAAAAACCCAGAGGTGGAGCATTTTACCACTGCTGCTGCTTGTGCAGGGGGATATGTATTGCTGTGATCACATGGGATGAGTAAGAGAGGAGGGGATCAGAGCAGTATTCATAGGAAGCTGCTTTTTATTATGGTACACACCCACACTGCCTACATCTATAGACACTGACAGCAAGGCTCAGTCAGCCCTGTCCCCCCCACTCCCTCATCACAGGATTTGACTCACAGCAGGGCCTATGAGAGCAGGGAGAAGAGAGAGCAGGCACAGACAAGCACAGCGCTGGATCAAGATTGGGCTCAGGTAAGCGGGGCAGAACAGTAACTAAATGGTTAGCACTTCTGCCTGGCAGCACTGGGGTCATTAGATCAAATCCCAACCATGTTACCACCTGCCTGGAGATTGCATGTTCTCCCTGTGCCTGCGTGGGTTTCCTCCAGGTACTCCAGTTTCCTCCCACACTCACATGCTGGTAGATTAATTGGATCTTGTCTAAATTGGCCCTAGTATGTGTATGTATGAATGTAAGTTAGGGACCTTAGATTGTACACCCTTTGAGGGTTAGGGACTGTTGTGAATGTACAATATATATGTAAAGTGCTTCATAAATTGACGGCACTATATAAGTACCTGTAATATAAAAATAAAACAAGTATGAGGGGGGTGACACACATGCTGAAACACTTTTTACCTTAATGAAGTGAATGCATTACGATGCATTACGGTAAAAATGTTTAGGTTTTAAAACCACTTGAACCTCTGCAATGTCCCAGAAGAGCGAAGAGCACCAGAAACTGCGGGGGGGGGGGGGGAGAGGTTATGCCAATGACAGCCTGCCAAAAACAGGTAAGATCTGTGACAGCAACTGCCCTCTTCTTAAGGAGACCATATCTGTATTATACATTACTGCCCTCTATACTGTACCCCTTCTGCCCCCCCCCCCCATACTGTGCCCTCCTATCCCTATGAACTGTTCCCTCTTGCTCCCCCTATACTGTATCTTCCTGCCCCCCCATACTGTTTCTTGTGTCCTCCTGCCCACCTGTACTGTACCCTCCTATTTCCCTGTACTGCACACTCCTCCCCCCTCCCTGTACTGTGCGCCCTCCTGTCCCCCTGTACTGTGCACTCCTACCCCCCTTGCACTGTACTCTCCTGCCCCCCCCCCCCCGTACTGTGCCTACTTGCCCCCCCTGTACTGTGCCCTGCTGCCCCTCCATACTATGCCTTCATGAGTCCTCCATACTGTACCTTCCTGCCCCTCCCTGTACAGTATGCCCTCCTGACCCGCCCTATACTGTACTCTTGTGCCCACCTTTACTGTGTCCTCCTACCCCCCTGTACTGTGCACTACTGCCCTTCCCCGTATGGTGTCCTCCTGCCCCCTGTACTATGCACTGCTACTCCCCTGTACTATGCACTCCCGCCCCCTGTACTGTGCACTCCTACAACCCTGTAGTGTGCATTACTGCTCCTCCCGATACAGTGACCTCTTCCCGTTCCTGTACTTTGGATTCCTGCCCCCCCCCCCCCCGCCATACTCTGCCCTCCTGCCACCCTGTACTGTGCATTGCTACTTCTCTGTACTGTGCACTCTCACCCCCCCTGTACTGTGCCCTCCTATGACCCTGTACAGTGCCCTCCTGCCGACCCCCATACTGTGCTCTCCTGCCCCCCATATTATGACCTCCTGCCCCCATGTACTGTGCCCTCCTGACCCCATTATTATGCCCTCACCCTTCTGATCCAAGTATTGGGCCCATCCAATCTCCCATCCTGTACTGTGCCTGACCCCCTTTCCCCCTAATTGTGTCTGTACCGAGTTCTCCTTTCCCCCTCTTCCCGTACTGTGCCCTCTTTTTCATCCTGTACTGTGCCCCCTTGCTCCCCCCCCCCCCACATTTTGCCCTACTGACCCCCTATCCTCTGTCCTACTGACCCCCTGTCCTCTGCCCTACTGACCTGCTGTTCTCTGCCCTACTGACCCCCTGTTCTCTACAATACTGACCTCTGTTCACTGCCCTACATACAACTGACCTCTGTACACTGCTCTACCTACTACTGACCTCTGTACATTGCAAGAATTGCAGTAATTAGCAGAATGGTCAATGTCAAATGATACTTCCAGAGTATTCAATGCAAAATGTGCTTGCAGTGTAATGGTGTAGTGGGTTGCTGCACTTTAAAGAGGCTGTACTGTTGCAGCTAAACAAATACATTAATGATTTTACTAATTAACACGTTTTTGGCCATGTTTATGTCCTTAATATGATAAATCTTCCTATATATACACTATTTTAAAATTAAATTGTTACATACAGTATGAAAAGCACTGTGAATGTACACTGCCTGTAATAAATAAATGAAAGGATAAGTCATGAAATAAAATACATTTTTTTTAATTTTGCCATGAGCCAGCAAAGCATTGCACCCGCCCACGATCAGCAGATCACAGGTGCTATGCAGGGCTCTTGCAGACAATCTGTGTAAGCGGTCTGCTTGTAACTCGTACAAGCAGGCAATTACACACTGACAGGAAGAGTCAATTAACTACATAGAGCGCTCAACAGCGCCCTGGTAGTTCATTGAGAACTATAAGCTGACAACCGCAGAGATTATCGGGACTTCAACATTCACAGAACTCTGCAAATGAATGACGCGGCTGGGCAGGCAGAGCCCCGCCTGGCCACTTTTTTCTTAAATTGTGACAGAGAGCAGGGGAAGAAGATCGCCAGCTCACTGTCAAAACGGGGGATAGGGGGCAGCTACATCTGTAACATGTTAGATGTTACACCCTGAATATGGGTGTAACATATTACGAAAGGTATATGTGTTCCTCTCTCCCATGGCTAGGTTTCACATCTATGCAGGTTGTGGTTGATACATTTTTCTGGCACGTTTGCTGGTGCATTTTGCATTTTTGAACACACATTTTTTTATTCGTTTTGCATTTTTTTTGGCTAATAGGAAAGTATGACAGTTCTGTTCATGTAGTGTGACTTTGATGCGACTTTACACTCTATGGCACTCAAGTAGCATCAAAGTAGTGCATGAACCTATATGTGTCTAAAGTCGCATTGTTTTTGGCTAATAGGAAAATATGACAGTTCTGTTCATGTAGTGCTACTTTGATGCTACTTACGTGCCAGAGAGTGTACATCCGCATCAAAGTTGCACTACACATGAACAGAACTGTAACACTTTCCTATTAGCCAACCCCCCCCCCCACACACACACACACACACACACACACACAAAAATGCATAAAAAATGCATAAAAAACACAACACTTGCATTTTTGGTGCTAGTCCATTGATGTCTATTACACGCAAAACACAATCAGCTGTGGGAAAAAGGTCCTGACCCTTTCCATAAATATGCACCAGCTCAAAACACACAGATCCATAGGAAATCATGTTAAAGGGACTGCAAAATGCAAAACGCACTAAAAAACGCATAGGTGTGAACCAAGGCGTATACAGGACTGTCAGTCTGCTGGGATGAATTGAAGACTTTTTATTTGGCCAGCTGAGTGTAAATGGAGGCAGCTAATGTAATGTAATGAGCAAATATGTCTGCTCCCTTGTATATAAACACCTGCAAACTGTACACAAGACAAATCTTTGAAACATGAATGCAAAGTAAGATAACAGTAGTTACATTAATCAGACAGCATTCACATTTACAACAGAAATCTTTAAAAAGACCAAATTCCCTAAAACATCAAGGATATTGGATAGTTTTGAGAGTCCAATGGGACATACCTACAACAAAACATCAAAGCAAATCACAAGTGGTTAATAACACATCCCAAAATACAAGCAGCATGGTGCCTGGGTCTTGGCAGCTGAAGTCCTTTGGGGTGGCCTGGCTAGGCACTGTATATGCAGTAAATCTTTGTCTGGCACCAACAGACCAAAAATCTAATCATCTTTTGGCAGCCGAGGGACCAGTGTTTGCACCTAATCCCCAGAGATGTGCGTGTGACCTGAACATGCTTTCGCTTCAGGGTAGGAAAGGTCAGAGTCTCTTACCTCAGACCAAGGGGTGGTGTACCACTTGAAACACGGACGCTCGAAGCAGGTGCTTTCTTCTGCTGGCTTTTTGGCAGCGTCGCAGTCTGATGGATTGCGAGTTTTCACTTTGCCGTTGGCCACCTCAAGGCACTGGACGACTCGCTGCTTGGAACCCCTGCCGCAGGTCGTGTTACACTATAGGGATCAAAAGACAGAATATAAAATGTTGAAAGTGCTATTAGGGTTACTGATGACTTAAGGGGGGGGGGGGCGTTCCTAAGCACCCTTTGTATGTAATGCTGGCATAAGAAAATCCTATCAGACAAAAAAAGATTTTAATTTGCCAATAGAGGACACGGTCTCTACATGTTCACTTAATGCTGCCCCCCCAGCTTTGTTTAACTGGGTAAATTACATACAAAATACTTCCAGGTATAAGATAGCAGGTGTCTCACTCACGTTTTACCCATGTGACAGTGCTGGTGCTTTGTAATTGGCTGTCCAAGTGTCAAGTGCTGTCATGTGAGAGTGGAGAGAGAGTCTTCAGACTTGTATAAGCTTGCGACTCTGAGTTAACATAGGACCTCTTCTTCTCGTCACCACAGAGCAATGGTGAGGTAATGAAGGCAAGATGTGTAGGTGCAGCTGGTGAAGTTGCTGTTAAAGTGAGCTGTTACTTTCTCCCGCATTAGCAAAGAACAGGACTGCTTTAGGAGGGAAAATAGTCTGCAGTCGGCCTCATGTTTATATATACAGTACAGGATCTCACAGAAGTGAGTACACCTCACATTTTTGTAAATATTTTATTATATCTTTTCATGTGACAACACTGAAGAAATGACACTTTGCTACAATGTAAAGTAGTGAGAGTACAGCTTGTATAACAGTGTAAATTTACTGTCCCTTCAAAATAACTCAACACACAGCCATTAATGTCTAAACTGTTGGCAACAAAAGTAAGTACACCCCTAAGTGAAAATGTCCAAATTGGGCCCAAAATGTCAATTGCCACTGGAGTCCTCTTCCACTCCACCATAACGACATCATGGAGCTAGTGAATGTTAGAGACCTTGCACTCCTCCACCTTCCATTTGAGGATGCCCCACAGATGCTCAATAGGGTTTAGGTCTAGAGACATGCTTGGCCAGTCCATCACCTTTACCCTCATCTTCTTTAGAGGTGTGTTTTGGAGGTGTGTTTGGGGTCATTATCATGTTGGAATACTGCCCTGCAGCCCAGTCTCCAAAGGGAGGGGATCATGCTCTGCTTCAGTATGTCACAGTACATGTTGGCATTCATGGTTCCCTCAATGAACTGTAGCTCCTCAGTGCTGGCAGCACTCATGCAGCCCTAGACCATGATACTCCCACCACCATGCTTGACTGTAGGCAAAACACACTTGTCTTTGTACTCCTCACCTGGTTGCCGCCACACATGCTTGACACCATCTGAACCAAATACGTTTATTTTGATCTCATCAGACCACAGGACATGGTTCCAGTAATCCGTGTCCTTAGTCTGTTTGTCTTCAGAAAATGGTTTGCGGGCTTTCTTGTGCATCATCTTTAGAAGAGGCTTCCTTCTGGGACAACAGCCATGCAGACCAATTTGATGCAGTGTGCAGCGTATAGTCTGAGCACTGACAGGCTGATCCCTACCCCTTCAACCTCTGCAGCAATGCTGGCAGCACTCATATGTCTATTTCCCAAAGACAACCCCTGGATATGACGCTGAGCATGAGCACTCAACTTCTTTGGTCAACCATGGCGAGGTCTGTCCTGAGTGGAACCTGTCCTGTAAAACCGCTGTATGGTCTTGGCCACCATGCTGCATCTCAGTTTTAGGGTCTTGGCAATCTTCTTATAGCCTTGGCCATCTTTATGTAGAGCAACAATTGTTTTTTTCAGATCCTCAGAGTTCTTTGCCAGGGGGTGCCATGTTGAACTTCCAGTGACCAGTATGAGAGAGTGAGAGTGGTAACACCAAATTTAACACATCTGCTCCCCATTCACACATGAGACCTTGTAACACTAATGAGTCACATGACATTGGGTAGGGAAAATGGCTAATTGGGCCAAATTTGGACATTTTCACTTAGGGGTGTACTCACTTTTGTTGCCAGCGGTCTAGACATTAATGGCTGCGTGTTGAGTTATTTTGAGGGGATAGCAAATTTACATTGTTATACAAGCTGTACACTCACTACTTTACATTGTAGCAAAGTGTCATTTCTTCAGTGTTGTCACATGAAAAGACATAATAAAATATTTACAAAAATGTGAGGGGTGTACTCACTTCTGTGAGATAAGGTTAGGTCCATATATATTTGGACACAGGCAAAATTTTAGTTTTTTTCAGATATTTACCAAAACATATTCAAGCTATAGTTATATAATGGATATATGCTGAAAGTGCAGGCTCTCAGGTTTAATTTTAGGGTATGTACATCCAAATTGGAGGAAGGGTTTAGGAAGTAGCCATCCCCCCTTTTTCAAGGGACCAAAAGTAACTGGACGATTGAATCAAAAGCCGTTTCATGGCCAGGTGTTGGCTACTCCTTCGTTATTTCTTCATCAATTAAGCAGGTAAAAGGTCTGGAGTTGATTTTAAGTGTGGTATTTGCATTTGGAATCTATTGCTGTGAACCTACATCATGCATTCAAATTAGCTATCCATTCAAGTGAATCGAGCAATTGTATGGCTTCAAAAACTAAACAAATCCATCAAAGAGATAGCAGCAACATTAGGAGTGGCCAAATCAACAGTCTGGTACATTCTGAGGAAAGAAGAATGCACTGGTGAGCTCAGCAACATAAAAAGGCATGGACGTCCACTGAAGACAACAGTGGTGGATGATCGCAAGATCCTCGCTATGGTAAAGGAAAACCCATTCACAACATCCAGACAAGTGTAGGACACTCTCCAGGAGGTGGGCGTATCATTGTCAAAGTCTACAATCAAGTCAGAGCAAATACAGAGGGTTCACCAAAAGGTGCAAACCATTCATAAGCCTGAAAAATAGAAAAGACAGATTAGACTTTGTCAAAAAAAACAACTAAAAGAGCCAGACCAGTTCTGGAAAAGGATTGTTTGGACTGATGAAACTAAGATTAACCACTTCAAGTCCAGACACTTTTACCCCCTTCCTGTCCAGGCCAATTGCAGCTTTCAGCATGATCACACTTTGAATGACAATTGCGCGGCCATGCAACACTGTACCCATATGAATTTTTTTAGCATTTTTTTTAGACAGATAAAGCTTTATTTTAGTGGTATTTATTCACCACTGGGATTTTTTTTTTTTGCTATATAAATGAAAATGTCCAAAAAATTTGAAAAAAAGAGTTTTTCTTATAAAATTTTGCAAATAAATAATATTTCATCATAAATCTTGGCCAAAATGTATTCAGTTATCTTTTTAGTAAAAAAAAAAATAACCCACATTAGTTTATAACCAAAAATTATAATTTAAAAAAAAAAAACATTTTTACATTTTTATTTTATTTTTTTATATTATTATTTATATTTTTTTTATACATACTGTCACCCTAGCAGTACAGTATCAACACGGTGACACTGTACTACTTGTGGGGGGTGATGAAGGTTTTTTTTTTTTCTTACACAGATTGCTTTTACACCCATAAAGGCTGTAAAAGCAATCATTTCTCATTCTCTCTGGCTGCATTCCTGCAGCCATTGAGAAATACTGTGTGAGCTGTGATTGGTCACAGCTTGTCACATGGTACAAGGCTGTTGTGAATAGCCTTGTACCATGCGACCTTGGTGATCATTCACAGATTTCACACGTAGTAAGCAATGATGTCAGAAGTGATTGTCTAGGGAGGCAGGTTAGACAATGGCACCCTGACTGCCATTCAGTATCGGGATGGAATCCTTGGAATCCTTGGACCTATTGTCAGACCTTACGCTGGAACAGTGGGTCCTAGGTTCCTCCTGGTGTTCGACAATGCCCGGCCTCATGTGGCAAGAGTATGCAGGCAGTTCCTGGAAGATGAAGGAATTGATACCATTGAATGGCCCCTATGCTCGCCTGACCTAAATCCAATAGATCAACTCTGGGATATCATGTTTCAATCCATCCAACACCACCATTTTGCACCTCATATTGTCCAGGAGCTCAGTGTTGCCCTGGTCCAGATCTGGGAGGATATATCCAGGACACCATCTATTGTCTCATTAGGAGTATGCCTCGATGTTGTCAGGCATGCATACAAGCACATGGGGGCCCTACAAACTACTGAGTACCATTTTGAGTTGCTGCAATTAAATTTCAGCAAAATGGAATAACCCGCTGCATTTTTTTTCACTTTGATTTTCGGGGTGTCTTTGAATTCAGTCCTCTGTAGGTTGATAATTTTCATTTCCATCAAACGATGGGGTATCCTTATGTTCCTAACACATTACCCAGTCCATATCAGTATAGATATCCAGAATTATATTTTTTCCCATTGAGGTCTGATGTGTTTTCAAAGTGTTCCTGTAATTTTTTTGAGCAGTATATATGGGGTATTGGAAGGCCAAACATGCGGATTGTCAGCCATTATGACAAGGATTCCAAAACACAATGCTAACTCAGCAGCTACTGTGCAGATTATGTAATGCTGAATTGTAATGTATACGTTGAGTCTAAAAGTGTTACTAAATCCAGGTCCCTGCATTCACTATATCTGGTCCCCCACAGTACACAGAACATGAAAATGCAATTATTTTAGTAAATATAAACTGCTAAATACCTTTTCTCATCAGCAGTCTTATGACTTCTATCAGTGTATAGCAGAGCACTGGTTAAAGCTTGTAGGAGTTTTCATTCTCTTCTGCCTCTATAGGATGCATAACCCTGACCCTCTGGACAGCGTTGATTGACCCTGTGCTGATCACATGCACACTCCCAAGAAAAAAAATATCTCTAGCAATACACACCAAACTGAGCATGTGCAGCTTGCCCCAAAGGCTCTTTTATCAGCAGATGGATTGGGGACAGTAGAAAAAGGGAAGGACCAGAGAAGACAGGATCAAACATCTTTTTTACGCAATGTGGAAGATTAACCCCTTAGATTCCACAGTGAGTATAACAAGTATGCTTCACTGACTATACAGACTGATTTTACTGTTGTTTAGTAACACTTTAATCCAGAAAACCAGTGTCTGATTCCAAAACTATAAAAGTCAATTATGGCCAGCAAAACAAATGTATTATTGGTGCGTGCGAGATAACATGTTTAGCAGGTTGCTCCTGCTGTTTACTAGCAGGCTTACAAAACAGAAGAGATTGTTTTTTACAATCTTCCTGTCCTGCAAGATACTGGCCAACACAGTGGAGGAGTGGAAGGGGCTCAGTAGCAGTTTATGGCGGGATCTCGCACCATTATCTTTGAATTATCCAAACTTTCAAGATGGAATTAGAAAGTTCCTTTAATAATTCAGCTAGAGTTTTGGAATAAAAACCTGGCTAACTAGAAACAGAAGTGAAATGTGAAGTGTGCACATAACTAAAGCATTTGGGATTTCTGGAGAATATATGATGTGCTTACCCTCTCCCAGTCCTGGCTCAGCCATTGTGAGGGACAGTTTTTGTCCCCGCAGGGATGAATAGCCAGGGGCTTGGTCTCGAGGTTGCACTGAGTCTCCGGAACTACTCGTCCATCGCTGGTTTTGCAGTAGACGTGTCGGATCATTTTCCCCTGGCCGCAGGTTCCGCTGCACTGTGAGAATAAGAGAGGCGGAGAAGTGTGAGTAACTCTTATACATCTCATATCACATCCATTTATCGGTCTTACACTGACCACACTGACGTACAATCCAAACATGTATATATATTTATATATACACACCAGGGGCGGACTGACAACTCATGGGGCCCCCGGGCAATAGGGGATCAAGGGGCCCCTGTGTCCTTACCCAAACTCAAAAAAGCCTATGAAAAAGGTACCAGGGGCATATCATGGGGCCCCCTACTGACCCCGGGCCCTCGGGCGGTGCCCGGGTTTCCAAATGGTCAGTCCGCCCCTGATACATACACACATACTGAAAGATAGCTTTCATTTTTATATCTCCTTGCTGTTCCATATTTTCATGAGTATAGTTCATATAAAGAATTGTCACTCTAATGGCTATTTGTGTATAATGCAGTACGGTCAGCCTTCCTGCTTAAAAACAGATGATAAAGAGAGTCTGTTATTGTTTTCATTTCAGCAACTGGAATCCCCACAAGCTGATGGTTACTGTCATACACACTGTCACAGCAGCCTCAAAAGAGCCTCAAAATATAGTGCAGCCTTATTCCACCTAACACTACAAAATTAAAGTAGAAATAAACCTAATTTTCAGAAAACTGCAAGCAGGCAGGTTTTTCTTATTGCAGAAGACACATACTATGTTTCTTCTGCAATGATACAAACTTCCCTGCCTGCTCACAGTTTTTTACCAAATGTACAGTGAGCTGTGCATGTGCAGCGCTGCATGCATTCCTGGCACACTTTGACTGTTCTGAAATGACTTTAGGTAGCTAGGCATCTCCCTCACGGTGGGTCATCACAGACTTTTTAATCCGGTCCAGGGGTCCCCTTAAGGTCAGCCAGGTGCTCCATACAAAAACCCTCCTCTCAGGATGGCAAAGTGCTTTCTCTGTGGGGATGATAGCTCCAAGCAGGAGCCCCAGAAAACAGATGCCAGAGATAGTGTAGTATTTCCAAAAGGTAATCTTTATTCATATAAACAACAGGGCAGTGTGCATACTAAACATCTGGTGAAAACAAACATATGCAGCAGTACTGACCCCAGTAATGATGACCGTCGGGCTTCCTCATGGCTCCGGCGGTGGAATGATGTCACGCTCTGCACAGCTCCTCCTTAGGCCTTTCGTGCTACAGGCACATCATCAGAGGGGAGGCTGTACAGCACACTGCACACTGCCCTGTTGTTTATATGAATAAAGATTACCTTTTGGAAATACTACACTATCTCTGGCATCTGTTTTCTGGGGCTCCTGCTTGGAGCTATCATCCCCACAGAGAAAGCACTTTGCCATCCTGAGAGGAGGTTTTTTGTATGGAGCACCTGGCTGACCTTAAGGGGACCCCTGGACCGGATTAAAAAGTCTGTGATGACCCACCGTGAGGGAGATGCCTAGCTACCTAACCTCTGACGTACCCATTGCCTGTGATGCATGATCACACATGCGCATATTCCATGCGTTTCTGGTGAGTGCGCATTTCTGTTATTTGACAGAGTGGAGGTCGTGGGAATTCGCATTCCTCCAGGGAATCACTGTGGATGCTGGATTATTACTCTATTGACTTTTTCACCTTGCTAAGCACTGCACTATGTTGTTTTAAGATTATATTGATATTTTTGAGGCATTGTGGTTGCCTTAAGTGTTCTAGCTGCTGATATTTATGAGAGCGCTCACTATCCTCTTTATTTGTTCTGAAATGACTGACTCCCGTGCGCATGAGCAGAATTACATCATCCCCGGCTGGACAATCAAGACACAGCCATCTTTAACAGGGGGTAAAAGGGGCAGCTGCCCTGTACCCAGTCATTGTGGGGTCCGGAGTAGCTGAGCTGCCCCTTGAGCCAGCGCTGCACGCAAATAGTTGATAAGTGGATTTGGCTATCACTCAGGAGATGAGGGCGGAATTGAATGTTGGAGTCGTTGGTCATTGGTTGGGTGTTATATCTGTGTGGTGATTGGCCAGCTCGGTAAGGTAAATCTTCCCCAGAGAGAGTGTCTGCCAGTCCCCAGCTCAGTCACACTGACCCCTCTCCCTCACTATGTCCATCAAGCCTCAGACCATAGGCCCGCTGAAGAACCTCTTCGCTGGACGGTTCAGTGGGGTGTGCCTGGTGTTCACCTGACATCCTCTGGACACTATCAAGGTGAGACCACTGGGGGGATCCTGTGTAATGATGGAGGAGGACAGTCCTGTATAATGATGGGGGTAGTATGGGCTGGGGTTCCTGTGTAATGATGGGGGAGGGGGCCTGTGTAATAATGGAGGAGGGGGTCCTGTGTAATTATGCTTTTTTTTTTAACATAGGTCTATCTGTGGGTTTGTTTTTTGGGATGTTGAGCTGAAGAGCGAAATTGCATGGGGGGAGGGGGCCAAGAAAATGTTTGCCAATCAAGTGAAATCTTCATGCTGGAAATGGGCTGAGATGCAACCTAAGTGAGATGCAGTGGTGCTCACATTGCTGGTAACTGTGATTTTTACAGTTGAAGTGCACCAACTTTTAAAAAGTTAAAAGTTAGAAAAGTTTATTTGAAGTGGAACTTCACTCTCCCAATCAACATTGACTAGTTTTAATCCCTATTCTGCTAGAATTAGTAAATAGATAGCAAGGTATGTATATTATATTTACTTGTTTGAAGCTTATTTTTAAATTTCTTCAGTTACTTCCTGTTTTCCAGGCCTAGGCAAATGTTGTCATATATCCCAGGGGGTCTTCAGGAGGGGGGTAGGGGTTTTCTTAGTGAAGCATACCCTCCTGCCTGCATTCCTGAGCTAAGGGCAGATGGATTCCATGAATAAATGCTACATGAATCATCTGCCCTTACTTAGGATGACCACAGCCAGAAATTCCACAGATGTGTTTTTCAAAGTGATATCTCAATAAAATAAAGCATGGATGGATAGGTGAGCTTGCTTTGAATATTAAAAATGAATTCAACCGCATTTTTGGTTTGTGGTGCTCAGATGTAGAGTAGTTCTGCTTTAAATTAAAAGCACTATGGGCTATTGTCATGTATTTGTTTTACAAGATGCCAATATTATGATGGAGATTTAAATGCAATCTGGACCATAATGTATGGTGATAAATTCCTCTAAGTACTACAGCGCTGCTTGACCTTGTATAATATATGAGGTCCATCGTAGAGGGAGGGTTATTTGTCCAGTAGGGGAGTGATCACTGAAGGGTGAATTTTGAGCCCTTTAATTGCTTGCTACACTCATATTGGAACTATTCACACTTTGATGAAATAACTGTGAAGAAACGCTTTATTTGCACAATTGTGTGGAGCACACAAAGTGTCTTTTATATGCTTTGGATTTTAGCACTTTCTATAAGACGTTTATTGCAATCCAAATTCATTTATGTTATGTATAATGTTATAGCTATTTGTGCTGTAAGCTTATATGATTAATTCCGCTGAGTTAGTTCACGGCACATAAATATATGTATTTAATTTTGTTGTTGGGATAGCACTGCACAATTTTATTGTTCTTGTTATTATTTGCAATTAAATTTGGATTAGGTACTGGCAGCAAAGTGGAGGGGGTTGGGTGACTGTGTGGAAGAATAATGGTCACATCATTACTGTCTTTATAACTCTTAGAAAGCTGTACATTGGAAATCCTGTAAAGAGGTAAAATGCTAAAAGCCTGAGGAGATTTTCTGATAAGGTTTATGTTTAACTATGATGCCTGAGCACATGGCTTGCATCTATATTTTTTGTTTTATTGGGACAAAATGGTGGAGTTTCCCTTTAAATACCACTAAAAATAGGAGGTTGCTCTGGAAACTGTTGCCTAGCAATGCCGGTTAGATGCCCACAGAAAAGATTAAGGAGTTGCATTTTGCTTGAAGATAATTGGATTATTTGTAGATTGTGAAATCTTTTAATGGGCCGCTGTGGTTTTACCAGAGGAGAACACGGGCAGTCTGGAGCTAATGGATTCTCGGTGGTACGCCGTGATTCACTTGATGGGTAAATGGCCAGTCTCTGTTGCTGGAGGAGAAGATAGCGACTCTGTTTGATCACTGTTTGTTTCTTCTCTATCTAACTGAAGTAAGTGTGGCGAAAGAATTTTAGCAGTGTAAGAACGATGTCCAAAAAGCAACCACAAACACATCAGCTTTACAATTTTTTATATGTGTGCCATCTTTTCATTTAATCCAAATGACAATTTTATTTACAGTTGAAATCACAATTTATTAAATAAATGCTCACGTGATTTCTGCATGCATTAATAATTTAGCATGTTGAAAAAAGAGTTAATAAAAAAGTTTGCCACACCATACATAAAAGACCTACCTTTTTTCAGCAAAGCTATTATGGTCAGCACGTATGTACATACAAAGGAGCCTTGCAGACAGAACCTTTCCTGCAATCATTTGCATCTCAACCACAAGGGCAAAGCTGAGATTTCCCTGCAGTATTCTGTATCCCTACACTTTCCACAGTGGTCCCCACCCCCCTGTTCCACATCGATCAGATTTGCCAGCAGTCATTTCATGCCTCTCCCTCCCACAATGGTGGTATATTCCCATAGTAGTGTCTCTGCCTCTCCCACAATGGTGAGAGATCATTGCAGTATTTTGAGCCTTCGTTCCCTCCACACACACACAGATGCTGATATTTCCCCACAGCAATCTGCTCTCCCACAATGGTCTTCAGAACAACAAACTCAAAGAGGCACTGGGAACGTTTAGACTTGCAAGTGTAGTCAATAGCTCTGGCAAGGCAGCTCAAACACAGCAAGGCTTCCATTGTTGGACACTCAACAGTAGCCTAAACCACAGAAACACAGGGAGAAGAGCTAGACCAAAATCAGATAAAATAGTCCAAGATAATTTTAATCGTTGGTAAAAAAAAAAAAGTCATATAAAAGCAGCCAGCGCGTTTCAGGGGAAACACCACTTCCCCTTCCTCAGGGCCGAACACAAGATAAAACTTGGATAGACTCAGAGAAAACAATAACTTCACATCTTTATATTAGAACCAGTTTTAAACTTTTGACGTGGATTAGCAATTTGAAAGGAGTTGCTGAGCAGCAATGGTGAAATTTTTCTGCACTACCTTTGTTTCTGTCTCTCCTACAATGTTGAGATTTTCCTGCAGTGGTTTCTGTCTCTGCCTTTCCCACAATGGCTAGCTTGCAAACAGTAGTTTATTTTTCTGCCCCTCCCAAAAGGCCTCACTCTTAAACAGCTGGACACAGTATATGCAGAGGGATACTTACAGGCCCCCAGTCTGACACAGTCCACTGGCGATCACATGGTGGTCCACTGCAATCTTCCTCTGATGGTGGTTTGGTGTTGAGATCACATAGCTTCTCATCTTCTGAACAGCGCACATCCCTTGTGACAATACTTTGCTCGCTGCATTTTGCTGTACACTGGAAAAAATTGCAATTGCGATTAAATAAATCTCAGGCTCTTATCAGTAGCCTACTTACAATAACTAATACAGGATAATAACATTATTATTAATAATAATAATAATAATAATAATAAGAAGAAGAAGAAGAAGAAGAGAAGAAGAAGAAATCTGTCCTGTATAGCCACAATTTAAGGAAACAACTTTAGGCTTTGAAAAGGTTGTGTTCTGCACAGCAGCCTATGGAAAACCATCATGGCTGCTCACTCCCCTTTCTTCCCTTAGTTCCATACTTCTGTGAAGCAGTGAGCTGGTGCCATGTAGTCACATAGCTTTACTGAAGGATACATCCATTGGACAAGAACCACCTCTACTTCTTCCTTCTTTCTCAGAATCCTCTTTTCTTGTAAATGCTGTATAGCACCGGTGTGACTCTTCCATGCTCCAAAAATACTTTGAGAGCTTGCGGTTTGCCACCATGGATAATTCAAAAGCCTTACATGCATTAAAGAAGGTGAGAACATATTTGATGACTTCACAGCTGTGCATCACAATATCCAATTTATCTGAGTGACTATGCCTAGGTCCTATAGGACAAAGAAGTATTGGTTGAGCACTGGACTCTGTTGGGAATGCAACAGCATGTACTATAACGTACTATATATAGTATAGTGTGTTAATATCACTTGACCAGTAGATGGCACTATACACTAAAAAGTTACTAGTTGTGTATATCTGAAAACTTGTTTGTTCCTCCCTCTCTCTATCATCTCTTCAGGAAGTAATGAGTCTGTAATCTGTCTGCTGAGAAATGTGCTCTGTATGTTTGTAACTTAAGCCACACAAGTAAAGCCTGAATTCTGCTATCACTACCAGTGTCTTCTATAACACATAACCAACAGGTTATGGGCCCAGCTCCAGACACTGGAAAAAGGAAAACTACAAGCAAGTGCTGCATTTACAATCCAATTCACTGAAAGATGGCAAGTGCTTCAGATATGAAGTTTACAATAGCAAAGCTCAACAATACCGACTACCAGCTATGGAAGTTTAAGCTTGAAATGCTGTTATCCAAAGATGACTTGTGGCAGGTACTAGGTACACACAGACCCAATGACAACCCAGAAGAATGGGACAGGAAAAACAGGCAAGCAAAAGCAGTCATAAGCCTATTAGTGGAGGATGATCAACTCATTCATATAAGGAAAGAAAGCACAGCTAAAGGTATGTGGACTGCATTACAAAAGCTGCATGAACGTGCAAACCTAAACAGTAAACTATATCTGCTACGCAAACTGTATAAGATGAGGCTGGAAAAAGGGCAGGAATTGGGTGAACATGTAAATGCTATGCTAGAAATTGTGGACCAGCTGGGTGCAATAGGTGAAGATTTAAAAAGCAACCATGTTCTTTCAATACTTCTGTGCAGCCTTCCAGAATCATACAGTGCCTTATATAAATGCTCTAGAAACTAGACCGGAAACTGAACTGACGCTAGAATATGTTAAGGGAAAATTAATTGATGAATACAGCAGAAGAAAGGAAAATTTGCATAGTGAAGAGAACGAGAGACCAGAGGCAGCTCTGAAGGTGCAGGAAGGCATAAGACAAAGCAAAGAAAGCAGGGTATGTTTTCACTGCAAAAAGGCCGGTCACCTGAAAAAGAACTGTTCAATCTGGAAAGCTGAGCAGCAAAAGCGGGAGCTACCCACAAGAGAAAGAGCTAAAGCAGTCATGAAAGAAAATGAAAGTGCATCATGGAGTGGTACTTTTAAAGTGACTCAGAATAGTACCTCACATGGATGGTACATTGATTCAGGGGCAACAAGTCACATGACAAGTGACGAGACATTCTTCACAGAAATTGATTTTAGTGTAAAAGATAAAGTCTTCCTAGCAAATGGGAAAAGTATTACAGCAGAAGGTAAAGGTCAGGGATTTCTGAACTGCAAAACGCCATCAGGGGGCAAGCAGAGCATCCTTGTAAAGAATGTTTCTACATGTTCCAAGCCTAGAAGGAAGCCTCCTATCAGTTAAAACCCTTGCAAGCAATGGACTCACTGTCCAGTTCAGAGGTAATGAATGCACAATTCAAAATGGAAAGCAAATTCTAGCAAGAGGAAGATTACATGAACATCTGTACAAAATCATCACTGAAAGTGAAAAGGCTAATGCGGCAACTCATAACCCACATGACAAGTGCATCCACCTGTGGCATAGAAGATTGGGCATCGAAACCCAAAGCTATAAAGGACTTTGCAAAGAGAGGTCTATCAGAAGACATGAAAATTTGCCTTGCCACAAACTCAGCAAGTGCATGTGTTGCATCAAAGCAAAGTCCACCCGAACCTCTCTTCCACAGACCAGTCAGAGTAAAACCGTCAAACCCATGGAACTGATACACAGTGATGTGTGCGGACCAATGAAAACCATCACACCTGGCGGGGAACAGATATTTACTGACTTTCATCGACGATTATTCCAGGTACACAATAACGTATCTAATGAAGCACAAAAGTGAGACATTAGAAAAATTTCAAGAGTTTGTAGCTATGACAAGCAACAAGTTTCAAAGGAAACCTGGAATAATACGCACTGACAATGGAGGGGAATATATGAATAAAGAGATGGAATCATACCTAAAGAAACAAGGTATTATACACCAAACAACCGTACCATACACTCCTGAGCAAAACAGTGTAGCGGAAAGAAAGAATCGCACTCTTGTAGAAATGACCAGATGTATGATTACGGACGCTGGCTTACCTAACAAATACTGGGGAGAAGCAATAATGACTGCAACATACCTACAAAACAGGCTCCCATCAAAAGCTATTGAGAGTACACCATATGAAATGTGGAATGGATCAAAACCTAACGTAGGACACATCAGAGTATTTGGCTGTAAAGCATATGCCCACATTCCAAGTCAGAAACGCTCCAAGTTGGAGAACAAAGCCATAGAACGCATTCTGGTCGGCTACAGTGAGCAGAGTAAGGGATATAGAATCCTTTGTCCAAAGACCAACAAGGTCACAGTAAGCCGCAGTGTTTATTTTGATGAAAGTGAAGCACCAGATAATACAATTCTTGAAAAATGTGGAGAGGATTTACACACTGAATCGGCAAGAGACACTGACTCATGCGAAGCAGGACAAGAGCCAGAACAAGAAGTGGAACTTACAATCAACGAGCCAATAGAACCCACTGAACAACAAGAAATCAGAAGATCCTCTCGAATGACAAAAGGGATACCACCCCGCAGGTTATCATACACTGCTAAAACACATCAAACACAGGAGCCAACATCCTGGGAAGACATAGAAACTTTGCCGAGAAGGGAAGCCGATCAGTGGAGAAAAGCAGCTGAAGAAGAAATAAAAACACTTCAAGAAAAAAAAACTTGGTCACTAACAGAACTCCCTCCTGGTCGCAAAACCATCGGAAGCAAATGGACTTTTAAAGTGAAATATGATACAGAAGGAAACATCCATAGATACAAAGCAAGATTAGTTGCCAAGGGATACTCCCAGAAATTTGGAGAAGATTGCGATGAGACATTTGCTCCAGTTGTGAAACATTCTACTATAAGAACACTCCTTAGTATTGCTGCCGGAAAGGGAATGCAAGTAAAGCACCTAGACGTCAAAACTGCCTTTTTGTATGGAGACATCAAAGAGGATCTGTACATGGAACAGCCACCAGGCTTTGAGAAAGAAAAGAACCTTGTATGCAAACTGCAAAAGAGCATCTATGGGCTCAAGCAAGCGGCGAGAGCATGGAATGAAAAAGTGAACGAAATACTCAGAAAGGAAGGGTTCTCAAAAAGTAAAGCAGATCTATGTCTGTATTCAAAGAATCAAGAGAACAAATGGACTTACATCCTAATATACGTCGATGACATCTTGACGTGTTTTGAACAAGAAGGGGACTATGACCAAATAGTTCACAAACTGAAACAAAATTTTGAAATTAAAGAGTTTGGGGAACATTACTCACTACCTAGGAATTCAAATAGAGCGGGAAGAGGATGGAAGCTATCTTCTTAACCAAAGTCAGAAAATTACAGAAATGTTAGAACAGTTTCACATGCAAGATGCAAAGGAAGCAAAAACACCAATGGAACCAGATTATCCAAAAACAAGGGAACGTTATTGTTTTCTACAAAAGAGACTAAATGTCATATAATTATGCACATGCCGTTGAGAAGGGGTGTTGGGAATGCAACAGCATGTACTATAACGTACTATATATAGTACTATAGACCAGTAGATGGCACTATACACTAAAAGGTTACTAGTTGTGTATATCTGAAAACTTGTTTGTTCCTCCCTCTCTCTATCATCTCTTCAGGAAGTAATGAGTCTGTAATCTGTCTGCTGAGAAATGTGCTCTGTGTGTTTGTAACTTAAGCCACACAAGTAAAGCCTGAATTCTGCTATCACTACCAGTGTCTTCTATAACACATAACAAACAGACTCAATGTAAGGAAGATCACATGTGATCCCCTGTTATAACAGGCAGCTCCCTATCACACAGGGTAACCATATGGGTTCCTGGAATAGTCCAAAGAGAATATAAAGGATGAGAGTGCCACAAGTGATTATTAAAAATGTACATTCTCTTAAGTGTTTAAGGGAGATCTATTACTGTGAATGTTTTGCTGTCCCCCTGCTCCTGACTGCCAGGAAACTCAAAAAGCTGGAATAGTTTCTCCCTTTCAGTGCCCATTTCCTACCAGCAGTTTAAACCTTTACAAATGTTAACCAAAAACACAATTCCTATGATACAATTAAAATGTTAACACTTTTGCTTTGTTGAGTTTTATCACTAGTTTCAAGATTACATTAGCCTTTTACAGATTACATTAGCCTTTTTTACATTAGCCTTTTTCCTGGCAGTATGTTTATATTGCACCAGGCAGTACTTGCTATAAGGGCCACAGGCTGAAGGCTGGAAAAATCCACAAAATTTACCAACTGTGATACCTTTTTTCCTTATTTCCTTTCCCACCTCTGG